AAAAAAAACACAATCTGTATTATGGACATTTTTTTGTACACATTGTTCCTCTCCATTCGTTTTTTGGCTTTTATGGCTGCTTTTGCAGAGTTTGGCAATTACTAAAACACGGCTCGGCTTAGCTGAAGACGAACTGCGATGACTACAGACTGGAAAGAAACGCGTGGCAGTTCAAGTCTCGAGGATCGTGACGAAGGTAAGCGGACGAGAACTGACTAGAAAGGAGCTGAAATCTTGCTTGGAGGTAGGAATTGGGAACAGGGGCGAGATTTATGCCGAAGAAGGGTCAATATTGGGTTTTATCTGCTGAGCATGAAACTTGATGCTAAGGAGAAGTTAGCAATCTCGAATATAACACAAAGAACCTCACTTAAGCGAAAAACCCGGTACTACGATTTTCGTAGCTCGAACACAAAAGCCAGTACATACTGATGTGGCTGAGCGGGACCAAATTTTAATAAATGCATTGGAAGTTTTCAGTTAATCTAGTTGGGACTTCTGGGATGTGATAACGATGCAAGAAAATCTCGAAACGACTGAAGCTTTGCCAAGTGCCCCTTCTATCGGGAGAATCGCTAAGACCTGGCAATACCCGTTCGGGGGATGAAACGAACGTCAGGACCACTTGTGGGACTGGAAAAGTAACCAGAAGCATAGCTGAACAAGTAGAATAAAGATACTGTTAACCCTCAGGTATTCCAGGTACATATCCAGTTAAAAGAGTAAAGGAAAAAGTACATTTGCCCTTTTGAAGTCTCGCGATACAAGCATTAAAGTATCCTCAACAATCAAGTCTCGAGCTCCCAATATCACTGTGTGAACGAATCGTAGAGAGACTGGATGCCCCAGCAGAAGAGGAATTGTACTTCGCATGAGAGTAACGCTTTTTACAGTCACTGCACTACGTCTGTCGTCAGTATGGAGTACTGTGCTTTGATCCAAGGATAATATGCAGGAAAAGCCCGTAAAATCAATGAAAAATCGGCAGAAATTCGACGAATTTCCGCGGAATGTAGCTTTCTTTCTGGTAAAAATTCCTTAGAACAAGCTGTACTGGGACTCCACTGACAGAACATTGGGTATAATAAGTAAAGAGGGTAGTAAACGCTTATGTTCATGACTCAATGGACTGAAATGTCTTATCTCACCATTTTCTTAACTTTCACCCGCCTGGTGGATCAAGGAAAGGGACGGGGGGATGGGTCTTTCACCCGCCTCTATCCCCGCTCGTCGCCGACAAAAGCCCCATTTGTTCCCTCCCTCTTCCCCTAGGAGGCCGCCCAGGACCCGCTTATGCTACCAACCCTTTTATCTGCCTCTTCCCTCAGCTCTATTTCGGCCTTAACATAGCATTTTGCATGTATGTAACTCATTTGGTCCTGTACTTGTCATAATAATGCGAACGACTGGCGGTGATTTTCCCGCAAAGATCACATCGGATCAGAAGGAAGTAGAAATTAGAACAAAGCATGAAGGACAGCAGTGGAGACAGAGGATGCAAAGTGAGTATCCAGCAAAGGAGGACGTAGAGCCAAAACTGCTGAGGAGCTCATTTGACTGGGTCCTCAAACGTGCAAAACCCCGGAAAGCTCCAGGTTCCGATGGGATCCAGGCTTTCTGGTGGAAAAAGTCACCCTCAGCGGCAGGAGGAAGAAACAAAGGAAGACAAAAGCTGTTCACTCACGGGACATTTTCGTGGTATTTACATATCCTAAAGGAATATTTACGTGATACTCGGACGAATACAGAAGAAAGGCCGTCCACCTCGCTTTTATCTACGCAGAGAAAATCTGAGTTGAAGAAAGATCTGGCGGCGAAGACCGGGAAAAAGGAGTCCACGAATCCATTTGGTGATAATATGATGAATTATCAATGATCATTGCCCATGTTTCATCCCTAAGCTGCTTACACAGAAAGAGAATAGCGATTGTGGAAAGAAGCAGGAATCATCAGTACAGTCCCCCATCTCACCATGAAGCTAAATTTTACTAGCTGGCATGCACTGAAGAAAGCTAGGAAACATGAACTCGCCGAAAAAAGAAAAAGAAAAAACAAAAAAAGAAAGTGTACTTGGTTATAATATGATCAGTTATCAGTAACCTTTTGTCCATGTTTCATCCCTAAGCTGCAAACACAGATGGAGAATAGCGACTGTGGATGGAGCGAAAATCATCAGTACAGTCCCCATCTTGCCATGGAGCTAAATTTTACTAGCTGGCATGCACTAAAGAAAACTAAGAGTACTAACTTGCCAATAAAAAAAAGTCAAAGAAAAATGAACTTAGTGATAAGATGATCAGTTATCAGCAATCTCTGCCCATGTTTCATCCCTAAGCTGCAAACACAGAGAGAGAATAGCGATTGTGGAAAGAAGCAGGAATCATCAGTACAGTCCCCCATCTCACCATGAAGCTA